GGAGGAAAGAGGAGAGGGGACAGGGGAGGAGGGAGGCAGGAGGAGGGAGGAGGAAAGGGGGAGGGGGATGGCCGCTGGGGAAGTGGGAAGAGGGAGGTGGGGTGCAACCAAGCATTCCTCCAACACTGCTCAGAACTATTCAGGTGCTTATCACTAAGAGGCAGGAACCTGCTATTCAGGTTCAGTATGGAAAGAAAGCTCCGTGGAAAAAAACCCGTTCTCTCCTCCTCTAGGCACAAGACCATAGGCTTCAAAGAGTGCCCCTCACAAACATGGCCGTCAGTCCATCTTAAAGATGGCAGTCACCGCGACAAAAAGAAGAGACACTAAAAACGACACGCTGCCGTCCAGTCGATCCAGACTCCTCTATACTCTTGGGCGACGACGAGCTAAGCAGTCCTTTCCTACGTCCTTCTTACGTGAGGCCCCCCGAGAAGACATCGCGGACGACGCCACAGGTCCCGCCCCCTGGCTTCCGCGTCCGGAGCCACCGCCTGGGAAAAGCCGACTTTGTTGGGTCACATGCCTGCGCGCCGGGCGTTGATTGGCCAGCCCGCTGGTGTCGTCAGACGCCGGCGTGCGCACGGGGATGGCTGCGGCGCTGCTCGGTTGAAGGCGTTAGGGCTGGGCAGGGACGGCGGCGCGGCAGGCGCGCCGTTCACACTCATGAGGAGCCGGAAGGTGAGAGGTCCCACGGGGCGGCGGGCAGTCGGAAGAGAGGTCCGGGGAGCCTCGAGGCCACGGACAGCCTTTCCCCGGGGCCTCGCATGCGAGAAGGGGTGCCCGGGTTCATGCCCCCGGTCTCGGGCCTCACCTGCGGGAATCGGATTCCCAGCGCGTGACCCCAACTTCAGGCCTCGCCTGCAGGAAGGAATTCTCCCGTGGAACCCCCGAGCGGCGCCGGGGTCTGGTCGTGAGAAGTGAATTCCACCTTCGCTCCTTGCTGCCCTGGGCGCCTTTCTTCCCCCTTTACTGTAAATCTATTTTTATGTTTGACTCAGAAATGTGTCTCCTTGTCTAGAGCATGGAGTTGGAACTCAGGTTGTTTCTTTTTAAGACAGTCTGTCTGCGCTTTTGATTACATTGTTTAACAATCTTACATGTAATTGCAAACATGAATTATTCTTATTGCTGCATTTATATGTGCCACCTGTCTTCTTTTTATATGTCACTTTGTTTCACTCTTCATCGCTGCTTTTGCGTTCATTGACATTTGCTGGACCATTTTTATTTCCTAAGGGGATTTTTTGGTGGGTTTTTTTTACCGTCTATTTCAAGTTGTTTTTTAAATGGTTGCACTTAACGTCTCAATGTATCAGAACCAACTTCGGACTGATAACAGATTAATACCAGTGAAATATAAAAAAACATGACTCTGTCTCCGGCCTAGAAGATCAGATGTTGAAAACTCCTCTCTCTCTCACTGCCACTAAGGAGCTTCCAGCCCACAGTGACCATACATGTCATGTTGCCAAAGTTATAAATCCTAACAGGAGAAGCTCCATCTTTATTCTGCGCAGCCCCGAATGGATTTGAACCACCAGTGACACCCAGCCTTTGAATTAGCTGTGCACTTCGCTACCAGAACTCCCCAGAAAACCTTACAGAAGAGCAGCCTTTACCCAGGAATGAGGTTCAAAAGGCAGGAAGGGCTAGGAAAGAAGTATGAGTGGAAATGGGAAATACAGGGAACGAAGTGGCCACAGTTAGGACGAGGAAACGGCTGTCGATGCCACAGAAACATAATGTGTATGCATTGTTAAAAGACAATTACAGTTTGCTCTGTAAATTTATGCTCAAATCACACACACACACACACACACATACCCAAAAAAAAAAAAAACACAAAAGCTTTATGGAGTGCAAGTCTATTCTGGCACTGATTGGGTCTAATAGACTCGACAGCAACTGAGTTATTTCCTATATTGCCCAAACATGGTTCTGATTTTTATTTACTTTCTATTGTAATTTCCTTCTCATAGTACAGCTTTGTTGGCACAACCTGGTGACCCCGTCCAGGTCTGCATCTGTTTGTTGAAATATGCCAGTTGATAATCCATCAATTCCTGGGGTCTTTCCCCTCTTCCAATTCCTTCAGAGCAACTTGAATTTCTTCCTTCATCACCATTGTTTCTTGATCATAGGTTTTTTTCATGAAATTCTTCTGTGTCAGCCAATTCTTATAGCTACAGTGATTCTATGTAACCATGCATTGTCTTTTGATGCTTCCTGGATTATTCAGTATCCTGCCCATGTTGTTAAGGGCTGTCGAGTGGTAGACGACTCATAGTGATGCTATGAACGAAAGGCCTAAGCACTTGTATAACTTTCCTCACTTCCAGAGGCAAGCTATTTCGGAAATGGATGCCATTCCTGCTTCCAAGATTGTTTTAATCGGGGAGCTCCACCAAACACTGTCCACTGTGGGTAACCGTTATCACATTTGACCCATCAGTGTCACAGTGTTTAGCATCACAGCAACTTCAAGTTAACCTCATTCTGCCCATAGAATCTTTTAATTCTTGCTGCTCAAGTCTTGAATTTATTTGTTCTTCAGTTCCTTCTGCTTGAGAAATGCCAAGCCGGTTCATCCCTTTTCATTTTCTAACTCTAGCTCTTTACACATTTTGTTATATTTTGCGTTGTCTTCCCAAGTTATCCTTTGACATTTCCCTTTGCTTTGGCTTCTCAGTGTTCTAGTGCAGTGTTCACAGACTCTTCTGACATCCGTCTCTGTTGTCTTCCTCTTAGTAATGACCTTTTGCATTCTTCATGGGTGATGTTCTTGATATCATCCCACAGCTCATCTGGTCTTTATCCATTTGTGGTCAAGCCCTCAAACTTGATTTTGAGATAGTTTTTAATTCAGATGGGATAAACTCAAGGTAATATTTTGATTTTTGGAGATTTCATTTTCTTTAGCTTCAGTTTAAACTCGTACATAAATAGTTGATGATCTGTACCACAGTCAGCACCTGGCCTGGTTTTCCCAACTGCTTCCTCTTGATTCCCATAGAGTCCATCAGGTGGGGTCCATGTGTATAGTTGCCATTTGTGTTTCTTATAAAAGGTATTCACAATTTAAAAGTCATTGATTATACAGAACTCTGTCATTCTTTCTCCATTCTCATTCCTGTCACAAAGTCCACCAAGTTCCAACTATGATCCTTGCTCCCAATTTTTGTATTTCAGTCACCAATTAAAGAAACGTGGTTACATGTTCAGGTGACTTCAGACTGCAAAGTCTGATAGAAATCCTCTATTTCCTCCTCTCTGGCTGTAGTTGTTGGTGCAAATATTTGAATGATAGTGATATTAACAGGCTTTCCTTGTATGTGTATGGATATTATCTTGTCACTCATAACCTTGTATTTCAGTATCAATCTAGAAATGGTTTTTTTGACTACAAATGCAACCCCATTTTTCCTCACCTTACTAGTAGATCATATGATTGATTCAAAGTGGCTTATGTCGATCATGTTAGCTCACCAGTGCCTAATATGTCATGCATTCTATTTTTTTAACAATGTCCAGTTTTCCTACATTCATATGTCTTATATTCCACATTCTAGTTATTGGTGGTTATTTATAACTATTCTGCTTCATTTGTGTTTCCCAGTATGAGAGCTCAGCTTCCTATGCTAGATCTAGTAGTCTAAGTGAGTTCCTTTGTTCATAGGGTTTAAAGATCTGTATTTATTCCCATTCCCAAGAAAGGTAATCCAATAGAGTATGGAAATTATCAATTGATTTCACATGCAGGCAAGATTCTACTGAAGATTATCCAAAAACGATTAGAACAGCACATCAGCAGAGAATTGCCAGAAGTCCAGGCTGGGTTTAGAAGGGGTCGTGGTAC